CCCCCCCCCCCTGCCTCTCCCCCACCTGCTCCCGCACGCTTCAGCCCGTCGCTCACCCTACGGTTCCCCTCCGCAGCCGCCCAGATCCCCTCCCTGCCGATCCCACTCCCCTCATCCCCACACCATGGAAGTTCCCTCCGCAGTTTCCTTCACGGCCAGGCACCCCCCTCAAAACCGCACACGGGACACGTTACCTCCCCGCTCAGACCAGGAGCAACGCTGCAGAAGGACTATGGGAAAAAATATTTATTATAAAAACAACTACGCCTTCCTACAGTCGGCATCACCCATGTCCTTTCCGCCCATCAATTGTTTTTTCCACTATCCTGTGACCATCAGAGCGGCTTTCTCCATCATTTCCCCTCAACCCCAGCCCTGCTCATGGTGACCGAGCCAAAAACCCCGTACCGGGGTTCTGGTCTGCCACAGGCACCAAGATGAGCAGGCTGCTGGGACTCACTTCCCGAGGTCTGCCTGCGCTGGGTGCCCCCGTGTGAAAAAGGACACCTCAGGCAAAGCGGAACATGAAATGCGGAGAAACAAGGCTGGGGAAGGACGGAGTAAAAGCTGGGGAAGAGGTGGCTGGAGAAGTCGTGGGGATGCTCCAACACCAACAGCCGGCGCTCAGGGGTGCACCCGATGCCGGGTCCCAGTCAGAGCCCCAGGTGCTTCCGCGAGAAGGGACGGGAACTGAGAGCCTTGTGCCTCCTCTTCCCTCGTTTCCCGTGGAGAGACCTCACCACGCCGCTCGCTGTCATCGCCTGCACAAGGCACAGAGCAGCAGCACCCCAGTGAGAGGTGCCGGACAACGGGAATTCCTCCCTCTCCAGCAGGAAGAGGGGAAAGACCCACAGCTTCGCCGGAGGGCGGCCGCCCCCCGCCCCACAGCTCCTCCGGCCGGTGCCGGGGCTCACCTTCCGCGAGGCAGCCGAGGTCAGCGCCCCGGCTGCTGTTCCCATGGACCAGCACCATCGCCTCACGCTTGGCAGAGCCGTTCACGGCCTCCTCTTCCCCCTTCCCCTCATCATCGTCGTCTGAGTCCACCAGCACTAAGATGTCACTCGAATCCTGGTTCCTGCGAAGGGCAGAGCGAGCAGAGGAAGGCAGGAAGGCTTGAGGGCAGCCTGACCTCTCCCTCCAGCCTGTGCCCCCAGCACGGCTTCCCACCCGCCTTCCACAGGCCTCCG